CAGTCGATCAAACCTGCAGGGGAAAGTTTCAGTAAACGTATATGGATTGTTTGAAATAGACGCGTCAAATTTAGTCAGACTTTGTCCGTCTTTTTTTAGTACGCGAAGTTTTGTCAGCTCTCGTACCATCTACGTCTTTGTATAAATAGCTTTTTACTTTCATTTTCTCTTTTAATATTTTTAACCGTTGCGAAATAAATCTCTTTATCGGTCTCCAGTTATTTTAATTGCGAAATTTCGACCGACAAGCGTTGACTCATCTTCGGAATAAATATACATCATTCGTATCTTTGGAACAATAATTATCCGTTTAAACCATGCTTTCGAGTTACCTTGTACATAGTTTTTAGATTCATGTCGGTCCATATCACGAGCTATAAAATATAATAAAGTGTGCATATACAGGGTGGAGCGCTCGGGACAGGTCACCTGGATAACTCGTTTATTTTTAACCCTTTACGGTCCTATGTCGAGACAGTCTGGGCAAAGAAATTCGCGACGATGTGCAAAGGTTATGGAGACTTAAAAATTAATTTTTCGAGTCGTTTTACAACTCGAGGATATTGGGACCGAGTTGCGTTCGAACGCGAATAACAAAGCGTGCCTTGAACTGTCCGGAACACTTGCGCCTAAAACCGAAGAAACCTTCGAGCGAAAATAAAAATCCCACCGGATTTAAACAGGCAATAGGTCCTGCAGGACCTATCCATCCGTTGGTAAATTGTTCGTTCCAGAACTGTCTGGCTGCTAAACGGGACGATGAATAAATCGCATGCAACGTACACCTAATGGAACATCTTTCGGTAGTTCGTACAATCGATTACTCGAGGAATTGACATAAGATTGACTCGTCGATCCCCCATTAAGTAAAACAACGAGTTATATCTAACATTGTACGCAGAACGGTTCAGCAGGATCTGAATTTAGTTCTGTTCTGTACTGAAAATCGTAGCACGGTTACATCGTCTCGTTTCTTGCGAATAGATCGAGATCGCTGGAGGGTATTTGGGCGAGAATGTCGGTCGTTTCGGAAGCCCCGGTCGCCGGGCAGTCGTTTAAATCTCAATTTCCGTTTCGACTTTGCGCTTCTAATTAGCACGAGTTACTCGGCATTGAACCGCTCGCCGAGGTAGTTCGTGGATGAAGTTGGAACAATCGGTCGATTGTTCTAATCGGACGCTTAGCGTTTTCCGCGGTTCCGTCGGTCGGGAAGTGGACACCGGCGGAGAAGAGAAGTTTCGAGCGAAGGTGAGTCAGCTCCGGAGCGATGGTCGTTCGATTCCGTGTTCCGTAAAGTCGCGTTTTGTTCCGTAGCACGGAATTTCGTGATCCCCTCCCTTCGCTCGATATCGGCTCCGCACGCGAATCAGATCTCTTCCGTTCGCCTCACCTTCGAGGCCCCTTTCTAGGCTCGAGCCTGAAAGAGTAGGAGAAGGACGGACGCCGGCTGCGGAGTAGGTCATCGGGAGATTCCATATCCTCGGTCGAAAGGAAGGATGGCAACAGACAGGAAATGGCCCGACGCGAAAAAAGAACCAAACGCCTGTGGTTCCCTTTGCCGTATGCCACCTTCCTCCCTCCGATTCTCACGGGCTATCCCTCCTTCGTTATCGTCTGATTTCCCTTTGAATACGCCCGTTCCTCGGATTTTACGAATTTACGCCGCTATCGTTGCCCCAGCCACTCTCACACAACCGTCACCATCCCCCGTTCACGCGTCGTTCCTCTTCTCTTTATCATTAATTTGGAACCCACATTGCCAAAGCTACTTTGCTCCATAGGAGACCGTACGAGCTATTTTTCTGCCAGCATTGTTGGGATTTTCTCGGCTTCCCTGTCTCGTCACGATTCCGAGTGACTTCCTCGAAGCGTAGCCCCCGAAAGCTGCCGGTATTTTCTTATCGTAATTACGTTCCCAGTCTCTCGTGTCGAAATCGCAATAACACCGAGAGAGGTTTCCTTTCGGGGCGAGAAAGAAGCGTCTCTTTGTACGAGCGTGGAAAGAGCGGGCGAGCTTTAAGAAGCCAAGAGGCCGAGAAGAGGACGCGTCTGGTCTTATCTGGGCCAATGGAACGCAACCTCGCGTGTTGCTCCTCTTTCGTCGGATCGGTGAACCGCGCCCGCGGCATGAAAATGTCCTCGACGCTGAATATCTGGTGCGAACTAATTGGTAAACTTGCCTGTAGTTACGCTCGGCTTGCCGTCTTCTTTCTCTGTCGCTAGAATTGTTTCCCCGAGCTCTAGCGACTGTACAATTTCCCGGTATCCGTGGCGGACTACACCCCCCTCCCGGTCCCTCCGAGATCTAATTATAAAAAAGCTGCGACGACGTCGGGCGTCGAAGTACACGAGCGGTTTGTCGTCGACGGATCGAAATGTACGTGTTTTGCCGCGCTTGCCCGGCGCGAAAGCGTGCACACGGAAACTTTATTGGATAGATATCAGTCGCGAATCTATTGAATTACCTGGTTAAATTCAAGGTCGAGGCGTGCGCGCGATCGTCGAAGAAATTGTAGAGCTTCGGCTCTCGGAAGAAAATCCGAGTACGTTTCGCCGTCGAGGCGACGTTAAAAATAATCCACTGACTAACATCTAGGTTTCGACGACTATAATTATCCCGAATCTCTCCCACGAGATGGACGGGTGGAAAGAAACACGCGACGATCGCGAAGAGCGAGCTTTAAGGGTCCGGTGAAAGACGCGGACGACGTTTGCCAAAATCGTATTCGCGTACTTTGTCTTTGTTTTCCTGTTTCGCGGCGAATCCTAGCCGGGTCTATTTAAGACGGAGTATCCACGCCCGACGCAAGCGTTCGTTTCTTCGTTTTTAACGGGAAAATATCGGCCGTGTTGTTTCAGGCGCCACAAAATGACAAATCGTCGGTGTTGCGCGTCTGTGACGAGGACTTCCAACGGGAATAAATGTGTAACGTAAATGATAAGTTGGATGCGTGTCCGCGTAACCACCGCGATAAGCTGGACGAGTGGTAGCCAACGTGTTGAACACGGGGTCATTAATCGTACCGTTGCGATTTACTAATCGTAATAACTTGCAGAAAAATATCGATTCGATCTCTTTAATGAGTGTAATATATGCATAAAATAAATGTAAAACATTCCACGGGCCGAGCTATCTTGATAGAAACGTAAACACGTAGAGAGAAAAAAAACTGTATTCTTACATTTTTATAAGGTACAATTACATCGGTCGTACTTGGATTTGAGTTTATACTTGTTAATTAAAGAAGAAAAAAATTGAAGAGATTTCAGGCAACTCTTCGCTATGTAACGATCAGGGGGGGCGATAGTGAGATCGAAAGGAAAAGTGCATCGTGCATTTTCTACTTTTGTTTGCGATCCGAGCCGGATCGAACATCGTCGGCGTTCCCAGCATTTCGCGTATTCCAAGCTCATACGTCTTGTCCGCCGCCGCGAATGCGATGCACGCATTATCTTTCTCGTTCCACGGGCCACTGTCATTCCGTGAGTTTTAGTTCTATGAAACCGACGACGAGCACACGACACTTTCGCGGCAGTTGCGTTTTCAGAAGGTCCATGATTTCGCTGACATCCGCGTTACTCGCGTTGCATTTACTCGAATTTCGCGTCTACCGACTACGAATCTCCGCCCGTAGAGATCTCTCGTCAAATTCATCAGCGAACTCGACCGAAAGTTCGACCATTAAGACCCTCGTTCAAGAATTTCGCTTCTATAATTGCAACGTTAATTACACTGTTTATACAATATTCAGTAGCTACTTTAAATTCTTGAACATTTATTCCGAGGGCATCGACCGGAGGAATCGATAGGATAAATATGTTTTCATACCAATACCATTGGCTTTCGTTTCAGAAAAAGATCGCTTCGAAATAATTGGCTCGCGATCTCGATAATTCTAACTTCGACCACGGGGTATATATCGGGATCCATCTTGTTTCGTTCGTCCAATAAATAATAGAAGGAGCTCGCGGTGGTTTCGAAAAGTTAATTCGGGTTCTTCCCCCGACAGACGCAAACAGCGAATTATACAAATGAACGGTTTGTTCCCGTTTCGTGCAAACGTACTCCAATAACTCCCGCCGTTCTAGCGTAAATAAATCTCGAAACTCGAAGTAGAATCGATCGGAGAAGAACGTAGGAGAGCGAAGGAGGAGTCTCGGAGCAGAGTCGGGGAAAAGACAAACAAGCCGGTTCTTTTTCTTCGCAATTTTTCCTCGGTCAATCCCGGGGTCCCGGTCTCTTCGGAGAACAACACGGTCGAGGGTGTCGTAGGTCAGGATAGCCAAGCAGTCGATCGGTGCACTCCGGTTGGACGACGTGAATGGCGGAGTCGGTGGGATTTCCCCGACGTGCCAATTTAGCGCGGAGTGATTGACGGACGGCAGCTTTTGATGGCTCCGGCGGTGGTCGTCGTCGCCGTCGAGAGCGGGAACCGGCGACCAGCAACGGGTTAATTCGTTCGATGTGTTTTCGCGATAACCCAGATACCGGTGGCGGCTTCTTTCTTTAATTACTCCGTGCAGAGGCGGGCCCCCCTGCGATTATTCCACGGTTTACACGGTCATCGCGACGGATCAAATTAAATTCGATATCCCCCGGTTCCGGAATATTATTTTAAACGGTGAGCACCGATGGCGCGTGCCCTCGTGGGAGGACAAGGCGGAGGAGGAGGAGCGTAGAAAGGGATTTCGAAGCACGTCGATAAAAATCCCCATAAAGGTTCGATGGGAAGGGGGGGCTTTCCAGCGTGCGTGGCTTTTATGTCGTGAAACGTATCGGAAATTAATATGCCAATTTCCTCCGAAAACCGGCTTGGCGCGGGTTTAGTCCGACCGATGTAACGCCCTTTGTCTGGAAATTAGTTAAACGCGGGAACGGTCGTTTTGAATGTCAAAGCGATTTAAACGCTATATGTGCCTCGTCTGCGGCTTCGTTAACCACCGTTTCATTCCGGCTAACTTTAAATTAATTATTTATTCGTTTACAAAAAACAGGGAACCGTATTGCTGTCAACATTAACTTTGTATAGAGAGAGTTTTGGTCGCAAAGAAAATTTTCATTTCTATCGATTTAAACGTCTCCACGCGATCCTTTGGTACCCGAAAACCCTGTGAAATAACAACGATCGGTGGTATTGTTTGATATGAAATGAAAACCGAAACATCGCGCGTGTCGATTCATCGAGAATTGTTTGCAAATTGAGTACAATTACGAGGATCCAAACGATTGTAAATAACGGAGTGGAAACGAGAACGGCAAAACCGCGTTCAATTTAACACGTTGACTGTTACGGTGGCCACTGGTGACCGACGATTTAAACATTAATCGAGTTTATTGCCAATGAATGACATTAATGAATACTGTAACTATCGGTGTGGAACGGAGACTTGATACAAAATCGATCTTGGTTCCCTCTGCTGAAAAGTCATCTGAAATACTGCAATTCGACTGGTAGCTCTAGCGTTAAGAGATGAGCACTTTCATCGCCAGCCAGATCGAAAATTGTCAAATTTCTCTCATAGCGGTCGGTTCGCGCACGCTCGGCGTCGTTTTCCCGCCGATGCGTGGGCGACGCGTGTCAGGAACGAGGTTCGCAAACAGTAAGGGACTCTTTGCATCGGCGTAACGAGTGTCACGGTAGTCCATTGCTATTATGATCGTGCGGCAATGCGCCTGGCGGTTTCCGCGCGAGGCGGCGTGTCGGTCGACCGAAGAGGAGGAATAGTATCGTAGGAATAGGCGGCGGTGCTGGAGGAGTAGGAGGTGGAGAGTAGGTTGCGCGCGCGGCCATTTTGATAATCTCCCACTCCTCTGTCTCACTCCTCCGCTCCTTGCTTCTCCTCCAGGGTTCCGTCTCTCTCGGCAATCCTTGCCCCGTCTCTGTCGGTCTCGCTCGGTTTCTGTCTCGCGTGCACGCATACCGAGTTTTCTACACACTTAACCGGGTAGTACATGCGCGCGCGTACACACGTACACGAAGAGGCACGAGAGAGGATGAGAGTGAAACAAACGACGGAGCGAGAGAAGAGTCAGGTAGCGGATGGCGGAGGAGGGGGCGGAGAGGGTGGTGGTCCGTAGACAGAGAATCGGTGCGTACTTTTTTTCTCGTGCTCGTAGCGCATAGCGAGCTTTTGCGGCAAAAGAGCGTGTGCGGAGGAGAGTCGCCCCCGTGGTCGCTAGTGTCGCGATTTCCCTTCTCTCTCTCTCGTTCCCGCACTCTCGGTACGACGGTGCGCGCACACGTACGCGTCTGTCGCGTACCTACTGCTCTCGGCCTGCATACGCGCGCGCCTCTGTGTATCTCTGCCGTCTATCTCGCTCCTTCGGCTCTCCCTCTCCTCGTCTCGACCGGAAGGTGCCAGTTTCTCGTCGACGATCGTCTCGTGCACACTTGCGCTACGTCGTCGCCGTTTCGTGAATCGTCGTTAGCCTCGGACATCGTCGTCGTCGTTGTCGTCGCCGTCGCTGTCGCCGCGCATAACCAACTTGGAACACGGCTGCTGCGATGTAAACAAATTGGATTACGAGTGTCGCGACCCTCGGCCGAATTCCGAGGAGAACGAGCAAGAGCAGTCGCCCGCCGCGTGTGCCCGTCGACCAGTGCAAGTAAACAAAGAATGTTGTCGCGTCAAGGAGACTCGTCGCGATCGGTGTGCAATTTGTCGCAGTTGTTGCGTCCTCGCGCGGTTTCCCGTTCTTTCTCAAATTTCTTCGCGCGTTGCCTGGCGTGTTTCGCCGTTGTTCCACCGTCGATGATAACTTGATTCGTTCGATCCGGATCGAACGGGAATTAAGGTGTTTACGTCGAGAAGTGTGTACGTGCCTTTTAATCATTCGTGGTGAGTCGTTGCACGGCATGGTTCCACGAGCGGGAGCGCGCGCTTCTGGATTAGCCGCTCCTCTCGTGCGTTTCGAACGCTGATCGGTTTCGGAATCGTGTTCCGCCTGTTCCCCGACGAAAGAATGAGAATGTTTTCACGCGTCGTGAACCTCGCGTCGCCATCGGCGTGCCGTCGACCCGTTATCGGTATTTCTGGTGATATTAGTGATCGCTGTTCTAGTGACAACTTTTACTCAGGATTATTTTTGGATATTGCGACGATCGGTCGACTCGTACGTTCCTGAACGCACGGTGAGCATTTACTACCGTTTATCCTCCTCGAGAGCTTTCCGTTTTGTTTGCTCGTATAAACGTCCAATTAAATATCTCCCCGACGCGACGACGGACGTTTTCCACGAGGAGGCGAAAAAGAACCGTGCGTACAGTTTTTTTTCTCGCCTCGTCGCGTGGATTCTGGTATTTTCCCGACAGAGCTATCGGAGAAAGTATGACGCGACTTTCATGGCCGATACACGGTGGGAAATTTAAACTTCTCGCGTTTCATGGCGAATTATACTTTGGATAGCGTATTCGAGGCGATCGTTTTGCGCTGTTTACTTTACTTCAGGAAGACCGACGACTCCGGACGAAACTAGATTTTGCTCGATATAAATACCGAGCCGCATACGTAAACGTGTGACATGCACGGTCATCGGTGCGACGCGGAGCTTACCAGTCGAGCATTCTCGGTAATCCTAGGAAATTATCGACAGATGCTCGCGCGTAAAAACGTCTGTCGGCAGCCATGTTCAAGACCGACGTTCGCAAGATATCACGATTTCGTCATACCACGTGCCGCCATTTTTTTTTCTTCCTTGGTATCCGAGCACTCGATTACCTTAGCCGCGCTTTTCCGTCCGATGGTGCACGTCTGTTTACGGGACACGCGATTTCCTTGTCTATTGCCTTTTCTACCGTATTTCAAGTGCCTTTTGTACGCAAGTAAGATCCTACGATACAACAACAACAACGGAACGTGTCGTTTCGAGTCGAGTGTACGCTCGTGCCAAGGTATGATTCATGTTCCTACCTATATAAGACCCACTTACGAATCTACCGGAATAACGTGTTATCCACGTGGAAAACAACGCAGGCAAATATCGTAGTTGCAAAGATTTGCAAATCTCGTTCGTTCGTTCTCGAGTCGTTGAACGTTCGGCTCGATTGGGAAAACTCGAGACGTTTAGCGAGCCGGGAATTAATAGGCAGTTCGGTTCTGCGACGTTTCAACGGTCCGCCCCCGTCCGTGAAATAAATCTTGTTATATGGTATCACGGACGAAAATAATTCTACGAATGCATCGAAGGCGAATTTGACACGGTGCTATTCTCGTCACGGGGAAAAGAAACCGTGGTCCGATCGATCGAAACGTTCGAATATTTTACTTGTTCCACGTTCCGGGGATTTCCATTTCTCGTTGCTTATCTCTGCCCTAGCACGATAAATCTCGTTCCTTTTTCGCCCGATAAAAGCGTTCACCGATGACGTCACGTGGTTAGCCACGTCATCGTCTAGGTGACTTAAATGCCCGGGGTGAGAGAGCAGGGGTGGAAAATGTTACGGGTTGATCGTCGAAAAACTTTGTCACGATTCGTCATCCTCTTTGACGCGAGAAGCCCTCGCTCTGCTGTTCCGTCGTTCCACTCTCGTGCTCTCTCCTCTCTCCTCTCTCTCTCTCTCTCTCTCTCTCTCTCCTGTACCTCCTCGCTCTCTCGACGCGGCGCGCGCGCTAACTTTGGATTACATAAGTGACAGAGAGCGCTGCTACCAAAGAGCCTTGGTTTCCTTTTAAAAATGGCCGTCCACTGGCCCGAGAAACATCATCTCGTGTCGAAAACATTGGCCGTTCTACGTCGCAGACGGCAGACGCCACGGTGCTCTGTTGCGTGTCGCGAAAACAACGAGCACGCCGCACACGGGAACTCGAGTTCGCGCGCTCCATTTCCGTCAAACTGTCCACCGATGCACTCGACGTTCGTAAATAACAACAATGACGTGCGTCTCGTGCAACGAATTCGACGAATAGTAAATATTACGCTATCGCCAGCGGTTTTTAAACTCCTCGATTAGCCACACTTCTTTCCCCGACACTAAATTACTAACGCGTTTGTTATCACGCTGGTCGCTAATGACCGGTGCCTCGATCCTCATTTTTATAAAATCAAAGAGGCGTTTATAAATAAATTCAGTGACAGAATAAATCATTTCTGATGATCACTCACGAGTGTGTACATATCTGTTCTTAAATACGATATTCTAAAACGAAATGTTGACATACCGATAACATTGGTTCAAGATTTTGAGTTTGACGTTTCGGTGTTGGCAAACGATGACACGTATCTTGATAAAGATAAAACAATGTTGTTTCAAACACGATTATTAAAATATTTTTAACCTTGGGTAAAGCAATCGCGTGCTGCATAGTAACAGGATTGGAAATTGGGCGAAAGCGTAATAATTTGACGGCGGACTCTGGCCAATGTTTTGCACAGAATTCTCTGTTGACGATGCACGATCGATTCGGGGATCAAAATGTTATGATGGGAAGTTATTAAGTCGACGCTTCCGGTTACGATTCTTTGTTGTCGGAAGTTGTACGAATCGTTACCGGGAAGTCGTGTCCTTAAAAGCTCGAAGTCGAAGTCGAAGTCGTCCGTGAGGGTGTTCGATTTTATGGTAAACTATCAACGAGGGTAATAGAAATTGGCGCAAACGGATGCGTCTTGCGAGATTCTATCGAGAGTGGAAAAAATGTACGCGTGAGGTCGGAACGTAACAGTATCGTCTTTTATAACGAGATTAGGGAGGCGATAGCGGCTGATAATAGGCTTAATCGGCGATAACGAGCGACCGAGAGAAGATAAAATTCGCCTCGGACCATCGACGTTCCGTGATGTTAATTACCTATTGCACGGGAACGCAAACAACCGGGTATTGGATCGAAATTCAATCGGTTCGTAACATCGAGCAATAAGTATTTTCCCACGCCACCGGATATCATTATCGCGGCGGTGTTTGTTAAATTTGTTGAGCGCGAGCGCGCGCATGTGCGTTCGCGTTTACTCTTTTTTTTATTTCCACCGGCGGAAAAAACTGAAAGCGTCGATCGCGTTTCGGGACCGATACGAGCGGGAAATATTGACCGCGAAGCGCGGAAATTTACGTCGTACGGGTAATGCTTTTCGTTTAATCGTTCGCGGCGTTTTGTTTTTCAATGTTATTCCGTCGGATCCGGTCGGTCTCGCTCGAGACTACGCAAACGTACGCTTTTTTTGTCGGTCTCGCGGTTATTTTACCGCGTTCGCTGTAAACACGCAACAAATTCGCTTTACGGCGATCGATGGACGGCGCAAAAAAATGGGAAAAATTTCCTCAATGCGAAAAGACGAACGCGGCGGCCGGTTCGCCGAAGAGGACGATCGAACGACATTTAATATTCCCGGGAAACGAACGTCAAACAGCGACGATTATTACCTTTCGCCTGGAGGTTGGCAAATATTCGACAACGAACGGCTTGGTCAAACACGCGTCGCGACGATCGTTCGAGACCGTAGTTTCTCGCGTCTTCTTTCCGGCCAGAGTCGTTAAGCGACACCGTTACGTAACGACTATCGACAATGGATAAGGCGTAACTTACTGTCCGGCGGCTTCAATTTTCGAGTCGGGATGACATAGCGAACCGCCTAGACTTGACATTACCGTCAGACCTGCTCAATGCCAGCAACGACGGAAAAATGGAGCCGAAGATGGTCCGACCGTTCTTGAACTTTGACCGAGTTACGTACGTGCTATTTGTCGGTCGACCGTCCGCTCGACCGAACTAATTTGAAAACTTTTTTTATTCGCTGCCGTCTGGGCGGCATTTTCGAACCGTTCCTCGAACCTCGAGGTAAATCAGAAACGTCTTCGAATTAATAGGAATCACGGTGGATATCTTTCAAATCGTTCGACAGGTAATAACCGTCCGGAATCTAGTATTCCCATAACTATCGTAGGTATATTTATTTAGAGCCCGTGGCGTTAAATCCGTTCATTACGGAACGTTCGACGAATTCCGATAGCGTAGCACGAAAATCTGCTTAGTTAGCTTCGGTCAAGATTCCAGGAAGTAAAACTCTACGAATATCGAATGTCGGAGCGCTGTATTTTCAACTAGTTTAATCGTTCGGGGAAAACGAGCGCGCTTATGACGTCGATGATGGATCGGTATTATTTGCCCGACTATTTAATAATGCAAAATAAACGGAACGTAGTATTTCCGAGCGTTTGTTTCGGTAAATGTTTGCCACGCGCAAAGACGGCGAAACGAGCTCAATTTTTATAATTGTATTTCGTGGGAATTATTGGCCGGGCTAAAATTACATTTCGTCGTAGTTGGTTTTTATTTATTTCGAGTCTTGAACGAATTTACTTATTCCTTATCGCGACGTTAGGAATTACAAACATCAACGAACGTTTATACAGCGGAAAGAAATATGTCTCGTTACGAAAATAGTTTCCATTATGACTCGAAACGAAATGGCCATCTCTGGTACCAACGAGGTCGAGCATCGGATCCGGAAATACGGGGAAAGAGAGCAGAGTTTGTTTTTGGCATGCATGGCCGTTCCGACAAATGTTAATTGGAACCGTTTGATAAAGTATATGTTTTATTTAATCGAGAGGGGTATCCGAATAACGAGCAATTCCGTCTCGTTTGCGAGTGGTTCGAGCAGCGTTCGGTCAATCCGTTCAAGGAGATTAGCGCGCTCGCGCGCGAACGTAGAACGAAACGCGGCTTTCGAAGGTTGTCGTCGTCGTACCGCGAAACGATGTCAGTGTGTCAGTGTCAATGGAACCGAGTCATTGGGTTTGTCGATTGTGATTCAACGGGAAGATGGTTTTGCCGCGTGACAGCTCGCGACGAGGAAACCGAGACGTATTTCCAGAACGTTCTCTCTCGACGGAACTTCTCCGAAGACGATCCGCTCCGATCGTTCCATTATTCCCAAAACGTCCCGCATATAACGCAATAACCCTCCCCCGACACGATCCTCGCGTTAAACGTTTCAAGGAAATTCGTCAAAACTGTGAGATTTTGTAGAAATCGCGCATCAATTTGTGCAAATGAATTTTGCAACTTTTCAGAGCAGCACTCGGCGCATAATTGGTATCTGCTTTTAGGCGTGCGTGGCAAAGACGTTTATCGATGGGAATAATAATAATAATAATAATGGGGCCGTAGGGCGAATCGACGGGTTCGGTCGATTAAAAAGTGGAATTTTCCCGGTGCGCGCGAAATCGATCCTCCCGGCGAGTCTATCTCCCGCGTCGGGTTATAAGCTAATGAAATTGGTAATTAACGAGCGTCGGGTGTCGACCGTCGGCAAAGAGAAAACGAAGATAGCGAGAGTGATTACGGGTGTCGAGATAGAGAGAGAAAAGGCCGTCGAATCGCTGGGAATTCGCGACCGCGCAATCCGGCATTTAGCCTTCGTCGGCTCAAAATAAACGCGACAACTCACTCGTTCCCTTCACTCCTCTCGTTCCCTCGTTCCCTCGTACGTTACGACCGTCTCTCTTCTCGCGAAACGTTCGTCCTTATCTCGTGTTCCCTTACCACAGGCGTTCCATCGTCTCTCTCGTTCCATCGCGCGAATACTTTCGCCGTCTCGGTCGTTTATCGTCGAGTAGCTAACTAAGCACGAATCCAATTCGCCACACGTACGGCCACGTGCGTGCAACGGTAGCGAACGTGTGCGTAAGCGCGACGAGGCTTGTGTTGCTCTTTCGCGTGCTCGTTACGTGTACACGTATGCACGTAAACGTACAGCCGCGCACCGACCACGGATAGATTTCTAAAGAGCACCACTCGCGGGGATGGACCCTCCTCCACCTTGGAATTAGAAGTTCGACTATGGATCTCTCGCGAAATTTAAAATATCAAAGTGCTTCGCAGCGGGAAGGGGAACGTTTCCAGACAATTAGCGGGTTACGCGAATAATTAACGGGCTCGACGAATTTGTACGATTCGAGGAGAAAAGGTCGAGCGGGGCCGAGTGTCGTGGGTGGTCGAAACGTTGGCGGGCATCGGGCGTACGTCACGGGCGAATTTTAAATAACGTAGGAACGCTCGTGGCGAGTTTAAAACGCTCGGTTTCCGGGATCCTCGAGCGTTCTCGCGCGGTGTGAAAGGTTAGCGCGTCATCGCTGACGTCGAACGAACCTAAACCGGGCCGCCTATAATATCCGCACGTTCAGACGTTATAAAACATGGTAAATCGGATCACGTTTCGTTATCGGCGAGACACGGGCCATCGGTGAACAGCAATGGTGGGCAAACCTTGTCGCGATACGGACCATATATCGCCCACCCGAAATACTCGGTCGCATCCGCTATTGCAACGATATTTTACGACACAAGCAGCAATATGCGTTCCTTTTTTTAAACAAAACCGTGCAATTTTCTCCACTCGAATATCGAAACCGTTCGCACTTTACGACGTTAATTTTCTATTCCGTTCGTGTTTAGTAAATCCTGGTGATTTTCTTCCTCCAAAAAAAAAATGCCAGCTATACGCATTGTTTGCTCCATTATTATAAAAGTATTTCGATCGGATCGATTCTTCTTTGTACAGCATCCGGCGGGAACCATGACGGAATTTTCAGTTGATTAACTAGAAGCTTCCGGCTCGCGTCGTTTTTTTTCGAGTACCACTTTTCATTCACCGGGTTTGTGTTTGTCACCGCCCCGTCACGAGTATAGGATTTTTTTAATTTGAAAAAAAGGAACCGTTCGAACCGTTCCCGGCAATTTGACGAGTTATGGTTGAAAATTGCGCGAATCCGCGGCGCCCTCGGTGATTTCTCGTCCGCGAGAAACCCGCCGACTGGAAATCCGTCGGCGTCTCGTAACGCGAGCCCATCGACTCGTGTAAAAAGGAAGGTTTTATTGACCGACCAGGGGGGGAGATCCGTTCGCTGCTCGGACCGATAACGTAATAATCCTTTATCGCACGATCGAAGAGTACACAGAGGCCGGCCGGAAAGCTTGGGAATACCCTTTGATGGTTCTGGCTCGTTTTTCCCAGAACGGTGACGTTTTTGCGAGCCGACACAGCGAATCGATTCGACTCGCCGCGGCTCACCGAGCAGCTCCAACAATATTTTCCCTCGTCTTTGTTCCGCGCGGGATCCAGACGCAGGAACGATTAATTTCGCGAAACGCGATCCCGCGGGCCCGTTGAAAACGTTCCTCTTTACCGTTTCGAATGCACCGCGATCAACGCGGCCTAATTATTTCCGGCGGCGATGTATCGCCGAACGATTCGAAAAAACTGGCCGCGAGATCGTTAAACGCACGTTAATAGCTCACGCTCCGGGAGAAGAAACGAAATCGAAACACTCCTGTTTATAATTTCGAGAGATTAGTGGAGGAAACGATCGTTAATCGGTTCGAGAGTATCGCGGATGCGAGAGGGCTCGTTTATCGTTTATCGTTGCGAAAGAACGCGAATGTAAAAGAGGTTGTCTGGCGACCCTGTCGAATCGACGATCAATTTTGTCCGGCGTTCGATGGCATCGATAGACTCGTGGACATTTTGGAAAATCGCTCGAGAAGGGTGCTTCCATTTATTCCTGTTAACGGGATGAACTTTGCCGGTTTGCGACGCGTTGGAGTTCGCGTTCGGGCGTAATCGTGTTCTTGAAATAGATTAATAACGCGACCGGACGATATTCCGTCTGGTAAACGAACAGAATGCTCGGAGTATGTAGGAGGTTATCTAAATACGCGTTTTATTAGGTTGATGCGTCCGGATTTTACGAAGAATATTCGAAGCTATTTATTTTTAGAAAACGCGTTTGTATCCTACGTTAAGCAACGTTGAAATTTCTTTTAATTCCGGCCGTGTTTTGGATCCGGCTCGAGTTCGCGAGGTATTCCGCGAAAGTATCGAATCGTTCGGTGGAGCGGAGTTGGATTTTCGCAAGCAGGAAATCAGTGGTATCTAAACTGGTAATGGGAAGAGATACTGGAGGCGCAGCGCGGAGGAACGCGGCGCGATGCTTTGCGGCTGTAATATCCGTCCTGTCGCCGGCTCGTCGGCCAATGGCCCCAGACTCCATCGAACGAACCCGCGGATTCGCCTCTACGGCTCGGCTCGCGTCGAAGCCTCGTGAATTTTGCACGATCTCGCGCTATCGAGCCGCCCCATCTTCCCGCGCGTTGTTCGTCCCCCGTTGATATTTCCGGCGTACGCGAAAAAGTGTCGAAACAATGCTGTCCGGTCCATTTCAGCCCGGAACTACCGCGTCTCGTGATCAACGCAGCCGACACGGCCAATCGATTTCCGCTCCACGGATATTAGCGACTTTTTGCCGCCAACCCTTCCTTCGACCATCGCGCGTTCCTCCTTCATCGACGAAGTTTGAAAGTTCGCATTTCAATATTACACAACTGTACAACTTTGTTCGATGCTCTCTTTATACACCGAACAGTCTTCTGTTCCTCGTGACCTACGTGACTGTCCTAGAGTATCGCGTGCCAAGCGATAAAAGTCGAACTTTTGAACCTGGCGGACGTGACTTTACAGAACGCCGCCGCTGATTTTCGGGCAAGCGGCTGGCCGTGATTCTTCTAAACAAAGTTGGCGAAATCATGTACGTTCCAGACTAGAAATTTCTTGTAAATTCGTAGCGTCGAGTACGATCCGAAGTTTTAAAAGTTTTGAGGAAGTCGATCGCATTGGCTCGAGTATCGGATGAGACGACTAAAGCGCAGAGGGTACGTTATCTAGGCGTGGGCGTGCTCTCCCCGGGCGACGAGAGGGATCGGAATGGTATCGAATTCGAGACCGATCGGTCGATCGAACGTCGTAGTTCGATCTCGGAGCGGAGTCTGGCGCGACGCGTGACTCGACTTTGCGCGCGTAGGAAAAAATTTCGAACGAGATGCTTGAATGGCACAAAGAACGCGAGGAATTCGAGGCGATTGCGACGGTATCGGTAGCTCCGGCGGCGGCGGTGTTCGTTCGCTCGATACGCAATCCCCAACGACGCCGGAAACGCGACTAAACAGGTGTTCGCGCCAACTGCAGCTGCTCTCTTCTATGGTTCGTCACGAATCTCTCTCCTCTCTCTATTTGCGTCTGTCTGCTGCTCGTTCTGTATCTCGCGGCCCCTCTCTCTCTCGGCATTTCCTGAAACGTGGGAGTTATTCTCGGCGATGTGTGTCGCATACGTAATGGAATTCCTCCTCCGTGGATTTCCTTTCGGAAGATAAAGGCGTTTGCTTGCCACGCGTGCCTCTGCTCTCGCACAAACGTCGATCGACCCCATCCCCGGGGCAGATTCTTCGTTACGATAGCGCTACTTGCCAGATTCGCTAGCTGCCCCCGTGTTACGCGCGCTTATGGTCGTCAAACAAGCTAAACAGTACGTTTGGTGGCTCTGTATCAACAATTGGGATGCAAATATCAATATACGCGATCGAAAGTATGAGAATAAACTGGAAATTCTGTTGCGGATCGTTTCGAATCGTCCGCCATTGGAGGGGTCGATCGACTCGTAGGAAACGCGACGGAGTTTCGCGCAGATATCGAATCGAAAATAGGCTTCGATTACCCAATGTCACGGATATTGAGCATCGACATGCAACTCGCCCCGGTCGTTTTTGCGCGAGAGTTCTTACGTGGATCGCCGGCCGAGTCCAACCGCGATCGACAGAAATTGAATCTTCCGAGTAGCATTCTATCAGGAACCCGACCGCGTATTATCCAAGGTTGCGTGCGATTTCCCTTCGAATTCCATCACCGCTTCATGCAAATGTTCAAATTTATCGTTAACACTTTCACGCGGGCCGAAGTGGGCCACTGTACCGTCGTATTACACTTTCTCTTACGCATCTCGCTTCGAGAGACGAAAACCGTAGCGTGGATCGTTCGAAAAAATTCTTCCCCGACCATGAAGCTAGTCGACCAACGCGAATATTAATTTATAGTACCATTAGCGTAACAGTAAGGGTTGAAAAACATGACCTGAAAAGTTGGTCGCCAAGTCCCCGATCTCCCCTAATATTTAATCCCCCGATAGTTTTGCACGCGTCCTGACGTCTCCCACATTAAAATGAGTTTGAAGAAAATTGGGTACGTTTGAAAAATGACTCGCAACGGTGTGTTAAGGGGTAGGAGTTAACGTTCGTCGAATGTTTGGTGTTTCAGTGTGGACCGGGACCGGCTTCGGGAGCGGGAACGACAGGCCCGCGCGGCGATGTCGGTCCAGGCCGAACAGGCGGCTGCGGGAGGTGGTCCTGACACCAGACACCATCACCATGGCCATCATAATCACGCTCACCATCATGCTAATCCGCATGCCGTCGCCGCTCCGCTGTTTCGTGCTCCCGTCAGGGTAAGTCTATCCACAGGGACGATTTTATTTTTGTATCGTTTACGATACCCTGGCCCCCGAAGCTCTCCAACGTTCCGGAGGGAGACAGGATCAAAGGGACAGCGTGTTCGAGAACCGGGGGTGTGTGGTCCGATTCGTACATAGCATTTTTTAAGCAACGCAGCGTCCGAAGTAATTTCTCTCGTCATTTTCTATTCGAGTGCAACAGTTTGCGTAACAAGAAACGGGTAAAAGCGGGAATAGGAAACGCAAATAGGCGTACGAACGTGTAGAATAACTTTTTGTCGTTGCTGTAAAACACGGTTCGCGTGACAGACGGCGAATCAGCTCTTCACGCTTTTCAATCTGTCTCCCTTTCGTTCGTAGAGCAATATTATACAATCTGATACATTGTATTTAACGTTTTAAACGTTGCACGTATCGCCAATCTATTCGTATTTAGTTCCCTCGTCACGAAACCCTGCTTTCTGCCTTACGTTTATAATCGTCGATCAAATCGTATATCGACTAAGATTCGAGCAAACGCGTTGGTATTTCCGATCAGGGCTCTCGTGAAAGATTATCTTGTGGTATCCTCGTTATTGCTCCTTCACGGCTCTCGAAGCATAATTCCTTCTACGTCGCCTTCGCCGATGGATCGTTTAGGTGCCATATGGCGTCGCCTCCCTCTTTTTTTTTTTTTGGCTCCGTGGAAACATTTGGCCGGTCCTCGGGCGCACCTAGAATCCTTCGGGTGTTCCGATTTCAGCCTCGAGTCTGGAAGACGAATACCGAAGCAGCTGCCCGAGGGGTGTACAGAGAAATCCCATACGAGCGTTATGGCGAACTCGAAGACCCCGAGATTCTCCCATGGCTCGTAAACATGGCCTCTTCTTCGACCCCATCGGCTCTGGCTTCTTCCGCCCTCGCTTTCAGCTCGCGTCCCTCCGCGTCGGATTTATTTCCGACCTTCGACCGCCGTGTCGAACACGTGTGTCTCGTTGCATAAATTTGTTTATCGATGATCGAATAATGTCGTCGCGACTCGAAACGCTGCAGTATACGCGTCTCGTCCGGTCTACGTCGCTCTGGTTCTTCGCTCGAGCCAAAGAAACGTAACGCGGACGATTCGCTCGGAAGTATCCCTAACGCAGATTGATGCCAGGAGCGAGGCAGTCCTGTATCGGTACGATTTCTTGCACGATGCGCGAACGACCTTTCAAACGACGCCGCCAGCCTCCCTGTCTCGTACTCAACAGGTGTTTCGCGACTTTTAAACTTTCCTAATAACCGTTTTACGAGCTCCCTGGATTTCCGTCTCCGCGTGCCGCACCTGCTGTCTCGCCGAAAAATTTTCACGACGTTTCTTGCCCCGTGACTACGTGCAACCGAGGCACTTCGGTAATCGGTCAACTTCTTCCGCGACTCGTGCGATAAAAGGAATCGTTAACACCAGGAAAGCAGCGGCGTTGGCTCAGGTAGCAGGACGACCAATAATCCTGCGCTCCGATTTTTTACGCAATTCAATCGATCTCGAACAAAAGAGTGTATCAAGACGTTAAATTTACAACCGCGGTGGGTGGAAGAAAGAAGGCCCCTAGTCGCGTGCCCGACGCTCTGTCCCTCCGATTCGCTCCGGTATCGGTGTCCCCCGGATCGCGTCGCGACCGATCCTCTCCTCCCTCGACGAGATCAACGAACTCCGCGAGAATTCAGGCCGATCCGTCCTAAGCGAAAACGGACTCGTCCGATGGTCGTGGCTGCGGGAGCAGCGCGGAGGGAACTCGGTGCTCTCGGCCTCGTAAATCGTCGCGGGATCGTAAAGTCGCGCGCGCGCGCGGGGTCTTCTTCATCGGTCGATTGGCGGTTCGTTCGTATCGGTAGTCGGGGAACTCTCTCAGCCCAAGGGGGACGAGGGGGAGGGATCGGTTTCGCGATCGGAAATAAAGACGCGACGCCGCGAACGTGGCGGCGGCGGCGGTGGCGGCGACGTCGCGGGGGAGAAAAGTTGTACGCGTGTACGCCCGCGGCGAGACTACGCTCGTGAACTTAAGCAGCAGGCGCGCGCGTATTTATTACCGAGATTAACGACGCGCATTTGCATTTCCATGTAGCGCGGCTCGCACGGCGAAAAGTTGTGATTTAGAGCGAGCAACGGCCTCGCCGGTTGCGCGAGGGGGGACGATGATGGATACAAGAAGGGCTGCGAGGAGGGACGACGCGGGGGAGTACAAAACCTCCTGGCTTTTTCTCCGATATGTCCCGCGGTAATGTACTGGGCCGTGCACACGAATCAGAAACGACAACGCGGCTAGATGGAGAGACCTTGCCCGATTACACGTACAAGTAACTCGTTCTCCGTGAAATCTCGCTTCTAGATTCTGTCCGGACACGCTGTGTAATCGTGTTTAAGTGGAGGTAATTTAGAGATCAAAGGGGGACGGTACGAGAGGACCATTTTTGATTTAGTCTTGGAACAAAATGTAGAATCGGTGGAAGATGCAAAGCAACGTGGCCTCGTTTCGAGCAGGAAACTCGAGCAGAAAGATCGCCTCTCGTTTCTCCGAGGTCTCGTAGACGGGGTTGATTTCTGAACTCCGGCATATTGTTGGGAGATGGGTGTTGCTCGCGTCGCGCTCCCAGGGGTAGAGGCGTATTCTTTTTGACAACAACGGACGGGCGTTTTATTTCCGCGCGGCAGATAAGAGGTTCTTTCTTACTTTTCTCGTTCCTTCTTAGCGCATAGCTGAGGTGTTGACAGAAGCGGGCAGGTGGAAAGGTCTCTTTGCCACCGCGAAAGGTGCTGCAGTAACCGAGAGAGCATTACTCCCTTGTACAGGTGTCGAGTTTCTCTCTCTTGCTCTTTTCCTTGCCCCCGGTTTTATCACGTTCGAGCGTTGTAAACGTACTTTTTGGGGCGTAAACGCAATCGCGATGCAACGTTGTTACGATATCCACGGTTAGAGCAATTTCATTTTTGTTCGCAGACAAATCGAATGCAGAAACACGAGCTACATTTACGCGGCGTTTTCCGGCCAACTTTTCCTCGCGGTAGGCCACAGTTATCGAATCGTTACGGGCGACGGTCGTAAACAAGACTGAACGGCGAACTCGTTCGCATAGAAGTCCCGGTTGGCGTAACTTCCTTTCGCCTAACACGCGGAAGAAAGTCACGCCGCCCTCGGTGCAACGCCACTTGTCACACTAGCCGGAAAATCACGAAATACCTCTGCCCTTTTCGCTCGACGAGCAAACTCGACCGTTTCTGTCGACGCGTCGCGGAGAAAGCCGCCGGCGAGGCGCGAACCTTTCGATACGACGTTTCCTCGCGCGTTTAAATGCCGTTTACGTAAACGTTGCGTCTAGCGTTTCGACTCGTTAAATATTCCCCCGCAAATAAATTCTCTAAGCGGCCGTCTGAACGCTCGAAAACTGCTCTTCCACCCGTTCTATCTTCCGGAACGCAAACGCAACTTTTCTGGGGCCTGTTGCACGCTTTAACGCGCGTGGACTTTTGTAGAATTTTGTAACAAACTGTAACTGTGAAGCAACAAAAATATTATCAAAGATTAGGTATACTTTCACATTTTTATTTCATGAAAAAATTCGCTTCGTGGAGGGCCAGAGATATTTATCGAGCAGATTCCACAAGTCGTTTAATAACGTTAGCGCCGTTCGAGGCTGTCAGGGGGATGTAAACATTGTCCGAGCGGGAAAGCAGCGTGAGTTTGTTTAAATTTGATTGCAATTTGGGCGACGAACGTTTATTTTGCGACCGTCGTAATCTACCGCGTCCGACACACGTTCGCGGCCGGAAATCGAGTACTCCATCGCGCGAAACGCGACGCATTTTCGGTCGAATAAATAATTTCAGGATCGAAACGGTCGGGAAGCAAATTTCGAGTCCCGCGATCGTTTGCACGGAAAGATACGAGACAGCGTCGACGGTACGCCGATGTCTCACGCCCTCGATTAACCTAATTAGCCACCGTCACGTACTCGTTAGGGACCCCGGCCAGTGGGCGAAATTCGTCGATTTTACCGGAAATCGTTGCCCGGAATTTATCGGGGGGGCCCCGGTTTAATTGTTCCCCGCGAAAATAATCGTCGTAACTCGCGCGTCCCGTGATCGAACGACTCCATTTTCGTTTGCTAATTCCTGGCAGCGTGGTCGCCGGAAATAGGTCGAAGCATGCCACGATCCATATTTAGATACGGACTTTCGAGATAAGACCTCAGTTTACGCGAAAGACGATCGACGAACACGGATACGCTCGTTCTCGCTTCTCGTACTTTACAATAAGTCGAGCGGATGGCGTAAAATCGTTAACGATTCGACGATATTCGAGCCGGTCTCGAAGATGGGAATAATGTTTCAATCACTTCGGACGGCTCGGCGGGCCGAAATATGACTTAAATGTGCACCCGGCTGTCGGGGGCGATTTCCGGTGGAAAGAAGGGATTTTCGTCGGCGCGTCGGAAAGCTTTTCGCGAAAACTTGAAGCCCCCGCGATGTTTCCATCGTCGAGCGACGTGTCGTTGTTCGTCAGTTTCCAGCGAACAGCGTCGATAATGGAATATCGGTTTTCCTCGACGTGTTTCGGTCGTCGATGCGTCGCGTATCGGCAATAAGCCCGTTCGATGCGACGCGTGGAATGTATCGATCGGTGGATTACATAATTCGCCGCGGGGCTTTAATGACTGCACACCCGATGACGATGACGATCGGGCACTATGCCGGGGGGGCCGATAACAACCTGGCCCTCCAACGGACGACAAATAGCGATCGTTCGACCGTGGCTCGTTTCGCGTTTTGGCAGCTGGAATTTCGTTACGAGTTTCCACTCGCGTTCGCGTTCGCGTTCGAGCCAATCGAAACCACCGCGAATCGATAGCCCGTCGAAGAAGCAGCAAATTATCGGAATCTCCCGCGAGGGCGTTCCTGCTCGCGACAGCTCCCGCGATCGTGATTTTATCCGATGGAAAAACCGAACGCTCGATGCAAAACTCTATCCGGCTCG